AGGAATAGCAAGGAGGGCAGTGCAGCCAGAGGAGAGAATTAGTGGGGGAGTTAAAAAGATGAAGTCAGGTAAGGGGCATGGGGAGCTGCATCGGTTGAGGCCTAGTAGGCCATTGTAAAGACTTTGGCTTTTATTCTCAATGAAATGGGAGCCAGTGGGACATTCAAACGGGAGTGTCAAGATCTTACTGAAGTTTTATAAGGATCACCAGGGCATCGTGAGAACCCAGAGCAGGCCCTGCCACTGGGTTAGGGAAGGCTTCCTGGAAGAATGACTTCTGAAGATCAGTAGATGTTAGCCAGGCAACGGATCAATCGAACTTGGGCTTCAGGCAAAGGAAACAGTTAGAGCAGGGTAAGAAAGAGAGCACGCACGGCACCCGCCCAGAACTGGGTAGGACACGAGGAGGCCGGAGGCAGTAGCAGTGATTGGAGGATAAAGCAGGGAGGCCCGCGAGCAGGCTCGGGAATAAAGCTGGGCTGGCGGAGCGAGGTGGAGAGACTCGAGAAGGACTGGCCAGAAGTCGAGGTACTTAAGAGGGAGCCGTAGCCTCCGCCGAGACGCGCAACTACAACTACCGCAATCCTCAGCGCCTGGAGTTCCGGCGTCGCCATGTTTAATCTACACGGACGGCGACGCTGCGCAGGGCCCGGCGTGGGTCACACGCTGCCGGCGCATCACGTGGGCGAGTCAGGTGACACTGCGGGGCGGGCCGACAGATTGCGGGGCGGAGGGTGGACGCACGGACGCGGTTTTAGCTTTGGCCCCACCGCTCCGACCCCCGCCGTTTTTGCCGCCATGACGGGGCTAGCGCTGCTTTACTCCGGGGTCTTCGTGGCCTTCTGGGCTTGCATGGTCGTCGTGGGTGAGGCAGGGCCCTGGCGGGCGGGGGACAGCATGGGGCCGACCTGGCCCGGCTGGAGCCCAGCGGGGCAAGTGGGTTACCGGGAATTCTGAGCCCCAGCACGGGCTCTGTACTGCGGGCTTTGAGACTTGCCTCACGCCTGCTGGGGCCTCTGACTCCGACAGACGAGACCCAGGCCCCCAGCTATTTGAGGAGGGGCGCGGGCGGCGGTGGCCAGGGGCCATGGGAGCAGCACCAGCCCCTTTCTGTCACTGCCGCCATCTCCTTTCCTCGCTGCTGTTGATCCGTTTTTGCTGCTGACTGGCCTGCTTGGGTCACAAGCCGGCTGGTCCAGTTCCTCTTTTCCCGGTGGTTTTGCCCTCCCCCACCCACTGCATGTTGGGTAAACAGCGGCCCGAGCTGGGCCGGCGGGATCTGGTGGGGCCAGGCTAGAGCGTTTGCCCCTTCCTTTCCTCCACGGTGTCGAGGTCTGCCGGTGGCGTGCCTGTGGAGGATCTTGGTCTGGGAGGTGGTGTCGTTGAGGGAGATACGTTACTGAGGGAGTGGCCGAAAATGGAGACCTGAGCAAAGGAATCTGTATGGACAGCTGTACTTTCACCTGGGGTCTAGCTACCCCCTTGCCTCGGATGTACACAGACCTTTAGGGAGGTGGCCCTTCACCTGGGCAGCTACTTCTTCTCTAGGTTAGGGAGCTTCTCTCTAGAGAGCAGCACCTAACCCCTTTTTTTCTCACTGCTGCAGGAATCTGCTACACGATTTTTGACTTGGGCTTCCGCTTTGATGTGGCATGGTAAGGGAGGGCAGGGAAAATTCCCCTAGGAGCTGCTTCTCTGCAGCCTTTCTCTTCTCGGATCTGAGCCCCTCCCCTACACCACTCCCAGCTACCTAGGACATGGACCTTTGGGAGATACGAAGTTTATTGTTGCAGCACCCAGGACTGGTGGGGTTAGAGGCTAGTTGGGAGGCCAAAAATTTTGTGCCCCTTTTCCCTGCCTGGGCTGAGTTGCTTTCTTTCCTGTCTGCACGTTAGGTTCCTGACTGAGACTTCACCCTTCATGTGGTCGAACCTGGGCATTGGCCTAGCTATCTCTCTGTCTGTGGTTGGGGCAGCCTGGTGAGTGTTGGGGTGGTGGGACTTGGGGGAAGGGCTGAGTCATGGCAGGTGGTATCACTGGGTTCTTAGTCACCATGACGACAGTGACAGCTTGGGCTCTGCTCATCATCAGTTTCTTACCCTTCCACCAGGGGCATCTACATTACTGGATCCTCCATCATTGGGGGAGGGGTGAAGGCCCCCAGGATCAAGACCAAGAACCTGGTCAGGTAGGCATAAGGGTCCTTGGAAAGTTGTCAGAACCAGCTGTGTTGGGAGCTGCTTGTGTGTTTGACATGACATACTGCTTCTGCCAAGCCTCGTGGTGGGGTGGGATGTTAGTGGGGGGAAGGTTGGTTTCTCTCTCATCTCTTTCTCCTCTCCACCCTCTACTCCCACCTCTACTTCTACCAGCATCATCTTCTGTGAGGCAGTGGCCATCTACGGCATCATCATGGCAATTGTCATTAGCAACATGGCTGAGGTATGGAAGACCAGGGTGGGGGAGGTCATTCTAGTGTGTTCTACACATTGCTTTAGAGGTGCATAATTGGTCATTTCTGATTACTTTTCTGCCTCTCTCAGCCTTTCAGTGCCACTGACCCCCAGGCCATTGGCCATCGGAATTACCATGCAGGTAGGTGGGTGAGTATGAGTGGAGGTGAAAAGCCCTCCTACCTCCCAGCTTGGATTCCATGTTTTGATGTGCTTTCACATACTTTGGCCTGCTTTGCAGAGTTGGGGTGGACGTTGGCCCCATTAGCCCACATTGGGCCTTGTCTTCATCTCCCCCTATGCCTAGGTGGGCCTCAGGGCACCCCCTCTCTGTCCTCCCAGGCTACTCCATGTTTGGAGCTGGCCTCACAGTGGGCCTGTCCAACCTCTTCTGTGGAGTCTGCGTGGGCATCGTGGGCAGCGGGGCCGCCCTGGCTGATGCTCAGAACCCCAGCCTCTTTGTAAAGATTCTCATCGTGGAGATCTTTGGCAGCGCCATCGGCCTCTTTGGGGTCATCGTCGCAATCCTTCAGGTGCCAAATCCCCCTTTGGGGCCTCTGTATCCTTGTGCCCAACCGAGCCTTACCCTCCTTCTGGAGAAGCTGAAGTGTTCCTTGTCTCTACCTATAACTGTAGAACCCCTCAAACAGCTTCCACCTCCTCATTCCCATCTTCTCATTTTCTCCTTTTGAGGCTTTCAATTTGTTTTTGTCTCTGAGGTGGTGTCACTGACAACAGTCCTGTTCTTTTCTCTAATGCCTTGTATCTGTATAGTTCTCATTTAGTCTCTTCTGGCATTTTGTTTGTCCTCCTCTTCTCATCTCCTGTCTGTGTATTTGTTTGTGGTCTAGACTGAGTTGCAATTTTGTCTGTGTCTGTCTCGGTATGTCTAACTGTGTCTGTCAGAGCCTGTGTGTATCTCTATCTGTGATAGTCCTGCCGGTAGGAAAGCATATCTGAAGTGTATATTTCATGTCTAATAGTATGTGGGTTTGTGACTAAGGATCAGCCTGAGGCCTGAGCATGAGTCTTGGTGAGTAGCTCTGTCCAGATGCCACTTCTCTCCATTTGTCCCACAGCCTAACTGTGGTTGTCTGACTGTCCCTGTTCATCTGTGTATCCACACGGTGTGTCCATCCTAGTGAGTCATCCGTCTGTTGTGGTCTGTCCATCCACCTATGGGTTTGCTAGGTCTGAGCTCTGTCATTTGTCACTGTCTTATCCATTTCTCTGTCCCTGCCTGATTTCTCCTGTTCTTTTTTTTGCAGACCTCCAGAGTGAAGATGGGTGACTAGATGGTCTGTGTGGGTGAGGCCGTGCCTCACTCTTATTTATTGCTGGTTTTCCTGGGACAGCTGGAGCTGTGCCCCTTAGCCTTTCAGGGGCTTGGTGTTCAGGGCCCTTCCTGCACTCACCACTTACTGCCTGCCGACTTGGAGGCACTGCAGTCCAGGCTGAATCCTCAGTGTGGGGAGAGGGCCGCTGATGGCGACTATGTGTGCAACTGTGCACGTGTGTCCCCCACCTCCACCCCCAACCCATCTTCCCAGTGTTTGTGAAATAAACGTGGTATTTGTCCGGGTCAGTGCATCTTGTTGCCTGCTTGCGCCACCTTTCACAGAGGAAGGGTAATTGAGCCTGTGCTCCTCAACTTCATGCTAATCTCTTGCCAATTTTCTGACTCTCTACATACCTTCTCTGCTCTGGACAGAGCTGGCTCTTGGGTGGGGAGGGCTCTGTAGCCCCTAAACCTCTTCGTTGAAGAGGGGACAAGGCAGTCCGGGGATATCAGCCCCTGGGTATGTTTGTGCCTGGGGTCCTCCTAGCCCCCTGTCTTCAGCACTCTGCCCACTAGGCCCGAATTGTCAGACCACATCTACTTACCTGGCTCTACCCTCAGGTGTCATCGCCCCCTATCCCTGTGAGGCTCAGCAGCCTATCCTCAGCCTCTGTCTCTCTACTGATAATACTATCCCAGCACCCGTCCCTTCCCAGCAACCTCTACTCTGATCCTTGTTCCCAGGGCCCTATCCAGCTCCTCCTACTCTTGCCCAATCTCTAATTTTTTCCTCTTACCCAACTTGTCGTTACCCTAGAAACCCTGGCCACCTCCGGTCCACATATTTAAAGGTCCTGTCCAACCGGCAGCCCCCTCTCTGCTGGCCAGCCTTAATCACGCCCCCGTTAGAGAGCTGACAAATTGCTAGACCCCTGCAATTTGGGGCCCAACCTCCAGGTCCCCTTCCTAGGCCCCTTCCTAGAATGAGTTCGCGCTCCAATCCAGTCCCCTCCCCACTCAGGGGCTTGACCAACCCATACCCTCTCTCCGGCTCGACCTCTATGCCAACCCATTGGATGGGCCTAGCCAATCTACGCCCCTGCCGGGTTCGGAGCCTCCTCTGTCCCCTGGCTCGGCCGCCGGCCAGGGCAGACGTCGGAGCGGCGCGCGGCGGGTGCGGGCGCGCTGGAGGCGGGGGCCGCGGGGGCGCGCGCACGGGCGCGCCGGCCGGGCCTGCCCCTCCGAGGCGCCGTAGCGCGGGAGGGAGGCGGCGGCGCTGTGGTCCGTCGGTCCGCCGGTCCGTGGGTCTGCCCGGCCGCCCGGCCCCGCCCTGCCCCCCGGGGCGGCTCGGCTCCATGGCCCGCGGCGGCGGTGGCGGGAGGCGGCCCGGGGGCCGCGGGGGCCGCTGACCGGGCGGCGGGAGGCGGCGGGGCCGGGCCATGGGGGACGGAGCCGTCCGCAGCCGCCGGAGCCGGGAGCCCTGCCCGAGCTGGAGCGGCGTCCCCTGCTGAGCCCGAGCGCCGGGTGAGAAGAGGGCGCGCGCGGCCCCCCACCCAGGGCCCCGAGATTCCAGACCCGGCCCCGCGAGGGGCACCCCGAGCGCGGCCCCGAGACCCCCACCCAGGACCCGGTGAGAAAGACACTGGCGGCCAGACCCCGGCCTGGCTTTCCCCACCCACCCCCATCCCCATCCCCGGCTCCCCTCCTGGGCTCCTCCGCCGCCCCCAGCTGGCCTCCCTCATTGTCCTCGCTCGCCCCGGCCTCGTGGTGCGAGAGGCGCTCCATTCGCGGTTCCCCTTCGCCTCGGCCCCCGCTCTACATCCACTCCCCGCAATCCACACCCCTCACCCCCAACCCCCAGGCTCCACACCCACCGGTTTCTGCTGCCTCCCCCGTCCCAGGGTGCCACGTGTTCAGCCTCCCAGCCCCGCCCAAACGCACCCCTCAGCCTGGCCGCAAGCCTGACCCAGAACCCCTGCCCCGGCGGGAGGGGTGGGAATGTTTGCACGTGGGTCTGGGTGTGAGCTGCCTGGGAGTCTGGATGGATGGCTGCATACGTCCAGGAGCAGCGGCTTTGTTTGTGAGTGTGTGACTGCTTGTGTTACTGTCACCCGGCTGTGTCTGTGACTCTCTATGTAGTTGTCTGTGTGTCTGGGTGTGGGTGACTATAGCTGGGACCAGGATGTCCATGTGGTTGTGTGTGTCTGTGAGTGAGACTCACCCTGCTCCCTGAAGCACTGCCAGAAGTGGTTGCTGCTCTGTTGGAGCCATGGCCCAGGCAAGACCCCTTCCTGCCATGCCCTGTGCTGTGCCTCTGTCTCCAGGGCCCAAGCGTCCCTGTTCTGGGAATCAGACCAGCTGTGCTAGGCAGGCCCTAGAGTCTTTGTCCCAGCCTCAAGGGGGCTGGCCTTGAAATCTTAGATAAGGGATGTCCTCTGCCCCACCCTGTATTTTGGCCTTGTGCTCCAGAGGAAAGGGATACATATTTGGGTCCTCTGGATGCTGAGGGCCCCTTCCCAGCCTGGTCCCAGCTGGCCCAGCCTGCTTGCTGCTGGGACCTGAATGACCAATTCACTTCCCACCATGGCTCCTGGAAGGACTAAACAAAGTCATGAGTATAAAGTACTCCTGCATGATAGGTACTCAGTACTCATAAGTGGTCTCCCTTCCGCCTTCCCCAAGCTATGAGTCTGGTTAGGGATGCTGCCCTGTGGGATGTCTGTTTTCTGGTGCGCAGGTACGCATGTGGGTCTATAGATAAACATGTTTCCATGCTTAGGTATGAACCAGCATGATAAGAGTTCACATGTCTGTGTTCTTGGGAATATATAGGTATGTGCGTAGAGTTGAGCAATAGAGTTTGTACCTGAGTGTGTGTGTCGGTGAAGTCAAGGAAGGTAAGTGTGTGTGGCTTAGTGGGGTGTACCTGAGGATGTGCGAGTACTGAGTTGCCAGGGACTGTGTCTGGGTGTCTGTTTCCAGGTAGGATGTGAGTCCGTGAGTGTCAAAGGGTGGGAGCAAGTAGGTGTGATGTGTGCGTCTGTGACTGCGAGCAGCTGGGCAGGTGGAGGGTGGGCAGCCTTGCTGGCCCTGCCCTGACTTGCTGGGTCTGTTTCCCTCACACCCTGCTCAGGCCGGCAGCCGGATGCCCGGGCCCACTGGACGGGCCGGTGGCCACCTGCGGGATGAGCAGACTGCTGGGGGGGACGCTGGAGCGCGTGTGCAAGGCTGTGCTCCTTCTCTGCCTGCTGCACTTTCTCGTGGCCGTCATCCTCTACTTTGACGTCTATGCCCAGCACCTGGCCTTCTTCACCCGCTTCAGTGCCCGTGGCCCTGCCCGTGCCCTCCACCCGGCTGCCAGCAGCAACAGCAACTGCTCCCGGCCCAACACCACTGCCCCCAGCTCCGGGCTCCCTGAGGTCCCCAGTGCCCGGCCTGGCCCCACAGCTCCTGTGCTGCCGCCCTGTCCTGACTCACCGCCTGGTCTGGGTAAGCCTGGAGGGTAGGGTCTGCCTGGAGGTGGGGAAGAGGGTCTTACAGTTTGATTGGGGAAATGGAGTCTGGACTCATAGGGGTGCCAAGGGTCCAGATCTGCTGTAAGAGGGCTATTCTTGGGGTTCCCTTGCCCACGCCCAGGCTGGAGGGGTAAGGGGGTTGATGTCCCTGGATTCTGGCCAAGGCCCTGATTCCTGACACTGTCCTGCCTACAGTGGGCCGACTGCTGATCGAGTTCACCTCCCCCATGCCACTGGAGCGGGTGCAGAGGGAGAACCCAGGCGTGCTTCTGGGTGGCCGCTATACACCGCCTGACTGCACCCCAGCCCAGACAGTGGCGGTCATCATCCCCTTTAGACACCGAGAGCACCACCTACGCTACTGGCTCCACTATCTACACCCCATTTTGAGGCGGCAGCGGCTGCGCTATGGCGTCTATGTCATCAACCAGGTGTGCTATCTGTGGTCCCTGGCTGGACACTAGCTACGAAGGAGCCTACGTGCACCTGTAGGTGTGCCTGCCCATAGGGGCATGCAGGTTATGTGCATGTTGGTGCGTATGTGGGTTGGGGGCATTTGTGGTCCTTGTCTGCCCACGGTAGTGTGGATATTTGAACGTACATGGGCATGGATGCGTCCATGTTTGTCAGCGTACACAGGAAGATTTGGGTGTGTGAAGGAGTCTACGTGCATGCGAATGTTGGTATGCACGCTGGTGGGAGTGTGCATAGCCTCAGAAGGGGGAGAGCCCTGCCCCGTGGTGGTGGAGGCCTAGGGCGTGCTGATGAGGAGGAGCTGTCACGGGCCTCAAAGAAAGGGAAAGTTAGACCCAGGGGACTCAGCTCAGTGCCTGAGCCCTTTGGTGGGCCTGGTAGGGCTGGCCACTTGGTCCCAGAGAGGATCTGACACAGGCCCACAGAGGCCTCCCAGACATGGGTTCCCGCAGACTCCGGTGGATAGTGTGTGAGTGGAGTTGGAGCAGGGGCTGTGGGAGGACAGAGGGGCCTGGTCCAGCCCGGGGTTGGGAAGCAGTTGTTGAGACAGGTGCTGAGGGATGAACAGGTGTCAGGGACTGGAGGAGGCCAGCATCCTAGGCGGAGGGACCTGGAGGACACAAGGCCCAGCCAGAGAGCTGGTCTCATGTGTTTGGGAACTATGGGCTGAAGTGTGGGGTTGAACATGCAGGCCGAGTGGCAAAGATGAGGCTGGAGGGGTTAATGGAGACCAAACCAAAAAGGGTCTTGGGAGGGACGTTAAGCAGTTGGATTTTAGCCTAAAGGTGGTGGGGCACCATTATGTGGTTGTAAGGGGGGGGAGTGACACATATGTTTGCTTTTTAAAAAGATTGTTCTAGTTGCATGTGGCAAGTGGGTGGAAGGGGGAGACCAGAGGCAGGGTGACCACTTAGGAAGAGAGAACAGTGCCTGTGAGGAGGGCAGCAGTCATGGGGATGAAAGGGGAGATGTTACGGAGAGTGAGAAGAGAGTGATGTTAAGATAGTGCGAAGGTTTCTGTCTTGGCTGTTTGCTGTGGGGGTGGCCATGCCTGTGAGTGAGACGGGGACACAGGAGCTGGGCCAGGTCTGGGGAAGTGTGACTCTGAATTCTTCTTGCATGTCATGAGTTTGAGTGCCTGTGGGAAGTACAGGAGGAATGTGTAGCAGGCAGGTAGACAAATGAGTCTGGACCAAGGAAGGAGGTTTGCGATGGGGAGAGGGATCTGGGAGCACTAGTGCATGGATGGTCCCTAAACCAACAATGTCTGACCTGCTCAGGGAGCAAGGGACATGCGAGGAGAAAGCCAGCACTTAAGGGATGGGTGGAGAAAGAGAGGCTGCTCCAGAGGCTGAGAGGATTGGCCAGACAGGCGGGCAGAGCCAAGGAGAGTGTGGCGTCCCGGAAGCCCGGCAGTCAGTGTCAGGAAGGAAGCGTGGCAGCTGCGTGAGCGCTGTGGGGGAGTGAGGAGGGACGTGGACAAGAAGCGTCCAGTGGATTTAGCAACAAGGTGGGCCCAGCGAGAGCCATTTCAGGGGCATGGTGGGGGCGGAAGCAGATTGCAGTGGGTTGAAGAAGGAATTGGATTTGACGAAATGGAGATAACCAATTGGAGACAACTCTTTCTAAAAAATCTCTGCTGAGAAGGGAAGGCAAAAGGTAGGGTGGTGGCTGGAGAGAGGTTCGTGTTTTTCTAGATGGGAGAGTATTGAGCACGTTTATGAGCCATGTGGGGGAAACCTAGGGCTCCTGGCTGGTGAGACAGGTCAGAGGGAGTGCTGATGGGCCAAGAGGGCGCGGACAGTCCCTCCCGGGGCAGGCGGAAGAGAAGGTGCAGGAGAGGGAAGGCAGGGAGCGGGGGGCTGAGCAGTCCAGGGGAGCAGCTCCCACCCACCAGGCCCAGGCCAGACCTCCTCTCCAGGAGCCTTTCTGGCTGTAGCCTGGAAGTCGTGGGTTCGGGCGGGGGCTCAGGGATCAGTCCCTCCTGTTGAATGCTCCCTCCTCTGCTCAGAATTTGGTGCTTAAGCCTCCATGGCCTGGATCCGGGTAGCCCCGTTCTCAGTGGACCCCAGGCTCACTGGGCTGTGACTGCCTGTAGGCCCTCTCCTTGCCATTTCGTTGCGGGGACAAGTGCATCTAGTTCAGTCCTATCCTGGTCTCAGAGGCTGCCCAGGGAGTTGGATGCAGATCCAAACGAGCCAGTGGGGGCAAGTGCCTGAGGCTCTATGGCTCAGTCCCGGTGGACTGACACTGGGCGTCTGGGCATTCATTGTTCATCTCACTTCATGACTGTATGCTCAACAGGGATAGGGACCAGGGCTGCTCGTCTGCAGAATCTCCCCTGGCACCAAGGCCACAGGGTGTCTTCGAGTGAGTGAATGGGATGAGAGCTCTGCACAACATAACCGGTTAGCGGACGTTGGTATAAACGAAGCGCAGAGGAGGGAAGGAGGAAGCATACTGGGGCAGGAGGTTCGATCAGGGGAGCCTTTCTAGACGTGAGTTTGAAAGCGAAGGAGAGCATTCCAGGTGGGGCACTGCCAACCCCAAGGCCTGGAGGCAGGCAAGGCCGGGAGTTCTGGGGCTGGTGAGGAGTGTGGTGTGGCTGGGCCTTAGGATCTGAGGGCAGTGGCCAGGGAATAGACTGGAGCCAGATCTGGAATAGAAGCTAGACTTCATCCTGAGAATCTGGAGGAGCCATGGGCGGGGAGTAGGCCCCCAGGGACTGCTCTGGAGAGTGGTAAAGTGGCAGGTGCTGCTGGTCACAGGCTCAGAGCTGACCTGCCTTCCCCCCGCCCCAGCATGGTGAGGACACCTTCAACCGGGCCAAGCTGCTCAACGTGGGCTTCCTGGAAGCATTGAAGGAGGACGCCACCTATGACTGCTTCATCTTCAGCGACGTGGACCTGGTCCCCATGGATGACCGCAACCTGTACCGCTGCGGCGACCAGCCCCGCCACTTTGCCATTGCCATGGACAAGTTTGGCTTCCGGTGAGGGCTGTCTTCTCAGCTAGACCCAGACCACCCTGCTGCCGCACTCCCAGGCCCAGTGCCCTGTTTGCTCCTGGCCCTGGCCCTGGCCCCGGCCCAGACCCCTCTGGCTGGGCTGAATCCTCCCTGGCCCCAGCTGCACATTCCTGCCACTCCCTCCCTGTCCTTCATCTTGAATCCCCTTGGGACCCTTACTGACACCTGCCATCCCGTGCTATAGGCTGCCCTATGCTGGCTACTTCGGAGGTGTGTCAGGCCTGAGTAAGGCCCAGTTTCTGAGAATCAATGGCTTCCCCAACGAGTACTGGGGCTGGGGCGGTGAGGATGACGACATCTTCAACCGGTGAGTAGGGATGGGATGGGGAGTAGACTGGCTGGGTGAGGGTGTGAGCTGGGTGGGGCTCCTTGCCCTTCCCAGTGCCTGCTCCAGTCAGTCTGTCCCCATCCTCAGGATCTCCCTGACTGGGATGAAGATCTCACGCCCAGACATCCGGATAGGCCGTTACCGCATGATCAAGCATGACCGGGACAAGCATAACGAGCCCAACCCTCAAAGGTGACCCCCTCCAGCACCCCTGACCCCAAGTGCCCCCAATCCCTGACACCCTCGAGGTGGCCTCCAAGTATCCTTGACCTCTGAGAGGTGACTCCCAGCGCCACTGATCCTCAGAGGTGATCGCAAGGCCCTAGACTCCTAGAGGTGACAGCTGGCACCCCGATCCTTGTCCCCCACCCCCTGCTCAGCTTCAGCCCCAGATATTGCCTGTCCCTGGCCTGATGCCTAGAGGTGACTAGAAATGAAAGTCAGGGCTCATTGAGTAGATTGCATTCCTATTGGTGCCCTCGTGGTCCTCACTGGTGTACCTGACATGACCTCTGTTTATACTGGCCCTGCCAAAGCAGATAGAATGAAAGAGAGCAGGCACTGGGCACGGCTCCTGGGCACCTGACAAAGGTGGCCCAAGCAGTGTCGGACAGGGCATGGAAAGATAGTGCCAACACCCCTGAGGTTGGAGGAGGAAGCTCCATTTCTTAGGAGGTGGCCACATTTGGTGCCTAGGGCTGGCAGGGAGAAGGGCCTGAAGGGTGTGTGAACATAGACAAGAGCTTCCTGGGCTTCATCATACTGCTCTGTGACTGGTACCAAACCTTATGGGGACAGGGGACCCAGAGCAGTCAACCCCAATCCCGGCTCTCCCTCATGAAGTTCATGCTAGGCAGGAAGACAGACAGTTACAGTACAAGGAGATTAGGGAAAAGTGCTATCCTGGCCGAAGGGGGAGTGATGTGAGACTTCCTGGAGGAGGTGATGGCAAACTGGAATTTGAAAAGAGATGTTCATTCAGCAGATGTTTGTCTCGTGCCTACCTTGGACACAGTGCTATATTCATCAGGCTGATGGAGGAGCCCCATGTGGATAAAGGGAATCATGTTCGCAAGAGTCTGGAATGTGAACATGCATGAGACTGTTTGGCTGAAAGATCTCTGAAGGCTGGTAGTGACAGGAGGGGGCTCAGTGCTGGGTATTAGGGGTCTTGAATACCAACAGGTTGGGAGTTTAACTTTTGTCCCAGAGAGATTGGGGAGTCATGGAAGGGAACAGGGAGAGGCAGGATCAGATCTGTGTTTGGGTGGCATACTCTTGGAGTTTGAGGAAGGTGAAGGGCTGGCCTGGCTGCTGGGTACAGCAGGAGAGGAAGTGGACCGGGCCTGAAGGAATCGCTGGGGCCTGAGGGGGCATGCTGGGGTAAGGACTGGGGGCGGGGCTGTACTGTGCCCCCAGCATGGACAGTGGAGTTTTCTGCTCTGAACCCAGGGTGTAGGAATGGGGGAGGTGGTTGTAGCACTGATGCAGGGTTGGTGTTTGGCAGAAGACGGAGGCACTGGGGGGGTCGGGGAGCTGATGAAAAAGTGATTCAGATAAAAACCATGGGCCGCAGGGAAGGGAAGACAGCCTGGGAGAAGAGGGCCTTCAGGGCAGCTGAGGGAGCATGCTCAATACTGGGTGGCTCGGGAGAGGGATCCTAACTGAGCTCAGGACCGGGAGGATCAAAACACGTGAGATATGGAGTGGAGCTCTGCAAGTACATGCGAGGAGCCTTGGTCCTGTTTTGGGAATAGCTTGTCTGGGTGCCATCATCAATTAGTGATGTCTGCCTTGGGTGTGGAAATGGAAAGATAGCAAGAAACTACTGGCTTAAGGAACTCTGTAGATGATGGTTCTGTCTACCTAGTTGCCTTTGCCTCAAATCCAGGAGTTCTGGATTCTTCTTTTTGTCAATCTACGTATTCAAACCATCAGCAAGTCCTAACACGAGTGAGCCCACCCACCTTCCCACTTTACTACTTCTTTCTTTTTTCTTTCTTTCTTTCCTTCCTTTTTTTTCCCCCAGGGTCTTGCTCTATCGCCCAGCCTGAAGTGCAGTGGAGTCATCACAGCTCACTGCAACCTCCAACTCCTGGACTCAAGCGATCCTCCTGCCTCAGCCTCCCTAGTAGCTGGGACTACAGGCTCACACCACCACACCCGGCTAGTTTTTAAATTTTTCTTATAGAGACAGGGTGTCGCCATTGCTCAGGCTGGTCTCAAACTCCTGGCCTCAAGCAATCCTCCCACCTTGGCCTCCCAAAGTGTTAGGATGACGGGCATGAGCCATGTCGCCTGGTCCCATGTTACTACCTTAACCCTAGTCCACTTGGGCCACCACGATAGCCTCTAACTGGTTTCCCTGCTTCCCCCTTGTCCTTTGTAGTTCATGGCCTGCCCCACAAACTGGGTTAAAACCCCTCAGTACTTTCTCACTCACAGAATAAAATATGAACTTGCTACTCTGACTTACAGAGCCCTGCCCATGTGCAGTATACTCCAATCCAAGCTGGTATTATTCTGTGTTTCCACTTGGCCCATTAAGATTTAGCCACTCAGCTGTGCAAAATCTTACTCCCAGTTTAGGGTCAGCATGTGCTCTGACCTCTGCCTGGGGCATTCTTCCCCCACCCTCAGCTTGATGTCACACACCCACCCCTTCCAAGGCAGCCCTCTTATCTCCCTTGGCACTCTGACCTCTTCATTGCCTGTTATCTGACTACCCTAGAGAAGCAGACATGCCTGAGGAAGGACCCGTCTGTCCTGGCCTTGACTGTAGCCCTGGTGCTAGAGCGCAGCCTGGCACATGGGGCTGCTCAATAAGTAGCTGGTGAAGGGGTGGCTGAAGGGTGAGGAACAGAAGATGGCACAGGCTTGGGAGTAAAAATGACACATCTGATGTAGAACACATTGCATTTGAGGTACCTGTGGGATGCCTCATGTCTGGGTCTCAACCTCCTCTTAGAACGAAGGTCTGAGCTGAGAAGTTTGACAGTGTCACAATTCTGTTTATGACCTAAGGGGGTGAGATCTGTTTTGAGGGCAGATGCAAGAGCAGAAGGGTTCCTGACCAGTCAGCGCTGGAAGGAGCCAAGATGTCGTAAGCCTTTGCCCCAGAGATCCCATATTGGGTTTGGTGTTTAGTCCTGATCCAAACCATTTCATCCTGTTTAGGTTTACCAAGATTCAGAACACGAAGCTGACCATGAAGCGAGATGGCATCGGGTCAGTGCGGTACCAGGTCTTGGAGGTGTCTCGGCAACCGCTCTTCACCAACATCACAGTGGACATTGGGCGGCCCCCATCATGGCCCCCTCGGGGCTGATGCTAACGGACACAGGCTCTCAGTGCCTGCCAGAGGACTGACCTACAGCCTGGCTGGTGGCTGCTCTGGGGGGAACCCCCAGGACTAAGACTGGGCTCTGTTTTCTGAGGGTCTTCATTAGGCCTCCCCCCTCAGCTGCACCTGGAAGTTTCAGAACCCACTTTGGGGGGCTTCCTGCCTGGGCAGGCCCCTCAATTGTGGCCCTCTCCAGGGTCAACCCTCCTTCCTGCCCTACTCCCCCCAGCCCAGCCCAGGTCACTGTCAGGGTCGGGCCAGCCCCTGCACTGCCTCGCGGAGTGGCCTGGGCTAGGTCACTCCACCTCTCTGTGCCTCAGTTTCCCCCCCTTGAGTCCCCTAGGGCCTGGAAGGGTGGGAGTTGTGACTAGAGGGCAGTGTCTCTTCCAGGGGGAATTCTCAAATCTGAGGAACCCCTTACTCCAGGGGAGGGGAAACCTTTTTCATTCAACTGATAGGGGCAAGCTTTGGTGTGCCCCCTGCTGAGGAGCAGCCCCAGGAGGGGACCAGAGAGGGTGCTGTGTCGCTGCCTGGGGTCTTGGGGTTGGTTGGCCTTTGCATGGGGGGCGGGTGGGGCTTGGATCAATCAGTCTAGTTCCCGCCTCCCTGTCTCAAGAAAGGAGGCAGTAGCCCCAGGGCCGGCTCGTGTTTGTACATTGCACAGAAACTTGTGTGGGTGCTTTAGTAAAAAACGTGAATGGAGCAGTCCCCTTGTCTGTTTGGGGATGGGGATCCGGGTCCCTGGACCTAGTTACCCCGAATGTGTTGCGGTGGAAGGACACCTGGTCCGGGGCTGCCCTGATTCTCCGCCGGCCCTAGGGGGAAAACTTCACGCTGCCGCTGCCTCCGGGCCAGTCGAGACAACGAAGCAATAAACCGAGTGGGCTCAGGTTTCTCAGTTCTTACACCTTCCCCGAGGCCGGAGGTGCTTGCTGTCTGGGCTCCGGGTGGTTCCCACGCCCGAGCACCGCTCCCGCGGACTCCGCATTCGCAGCCGGCTCGCCGCGCGCCCTGTGTGGCAGGGGCGGGGCCGGCGCCTCTGAGGGGCGGGGCCTGGGGTCGCGGCGAGGTTTCCCGGGTGACGGCCGCGCGGAAGAGGCGGGATAGGACACGGGTTTCCACTTCCCTGCTCCGGGGCGCCGTGGCCTGGAACCGCGGCCTCTGAGAGTCTGCCAGAGAGGGGCAGAAAAGACAGCGCCAGGAACTGGCGGCTCTGGACGCGGTAATTCCGGCCGGGGGACTTGGGTGGGGCTTGGGGGCGGGGCCTGAGTGGGCGGGGCCCGGGCGACCGGCGGGCTCGCAGTAAGTGCCCTGCTTGCTCTGAACTGCTGCCGCGTAGGTACGAGCGGGGCACTGTGGCGCTGGCGGACCATGCCCCGGGACTCCCCGTCGCTGTGGGAGCTGGTGGAGGAGCACGTTCCGCTCCCGGAGCGGCCCGAAGTGAAGAGGATTCTGGGGGAGGCGGCGGTGGACCTGAGCCTGGAGCTGTGGGCGGAGGTGGGGAGTGAGAAGGTGGGCCACGCCCCAGGCCTGCCCCACCGCTCGTCTGATTTCCCTCCTCCGGTCCCTGACCTTGCCCGGTAACTCCCGAGGTCTTGTCAGACCTTACTGTCTGCTCTACCCTTCACTCGCCCAGGTCCCCACCCCACTCCTGTCACCTCCCTCCCCAGTTGCAAGACGTTCCAGCTCTCCTTGCAGGTGGCGATGTTACGGGCACTGCTCCAAGAGTCTCGATCCTCCCAAGCCCTCAGTTCACACCCCATCTCTGACCCCTCCTCTCTTCTGGCACCGTCGCCCCCCCTAAGGGACCTCGTGCGCCAGGAACTCCGGCAGCTGCTCCAGGGTCTCCGCCACAAGGCCATCTGTGAGGGCAGGTGGGAGCCTCAGGCCTGGGCCCCATCCCCAGACATCAGGTGGGCTGGCCCTGCTCCTGACAAGGAGTGACGGTCGCCTTTCCTGTGGTTTCCTGAAAGGAGCCCCTCAGCTTCCTTCATACGCACCTTCTGCAGGGACCAGGCCCAGGCTTGGGTCCAGTATAGCCCCAGGGTCCTGCGCTTTGCCTTGGAGGAGCCCAGGTGTGATTTGCCAGAACGAGAGATAGTCCAGATGAGAGCTGGTGAACCCAGGTAAAGTGCTGGTAGGAGAGGAGGGATCTGTCCCCTCTTGGCAGTGGGTCCCAGCCAGCTGGTGGGTTCCCCCCAGCTCCATGGAGGAGCTGGACCCTTTTACAGCCACTTGTGATAGAGATCAGCACATGACGGCTATGGAAACCCAGAGGTTTCCTAACCTAACACCCAACCAGCCTGGGCACAGGCAAGGCTTCCTGGAGAAAGTGACTGGTTTGACCTGGGTGTTGTAGTGTGAAAAGCAGCTTTCTAGCAGATGAAAGAGAGAAGAGCTTTGCAGGAAGAGGGAGGAAAGGAGGCCATGTCCAGTGGGCAGTTGTTCCTCAGGCCTAGAGAACAGCAGCGAGGGCGAGGCTACAGCAGTAGGGACAGCTGAAGGGGAGGGCAGCAAGTGGTATTTACAGCTGGGACTGAATGAGATACATGTTCATAAGAAGTGGATGGTAACAGTTTCTTATTCTAATCCTCACACAGCCCTGGGAGGTGGGCAACATCCCCACTTTACACAAGAGAAAACTAACGTTCAGAAAGAATAAGTGATTTGCCTGAGGTCACACACAGTGAAGGTTGGCATTTGCAAACCCAGGCTCCCAAACTCTTACTCATTGCACTATACTATGTTGCCTTTGTGAGGAAACACACAGACTTGTCCAGGAGAAGTGGTATTTGTGTTCTGAAGTCCTGGGGTGGGCAATATGGGGAGAGTGATGTTGATTTCATCTGCCAGCAGCAGTCACAGGGACCTCAGCGCTTTCAAGGACCAACTGAACGTGTCCAACATTGATCAGGTTGCCAGACACCTGAGGTGAGGCCCAGGGGCACCTGAGTGTGTGTAGGTGGAGGTGGAGACAGGACAGGAGACAGGGATGGGTCCTGAGGTGCTGGGGTGTCGTACCTGGTGTCAGTCTGAGTAGTAGGACAGAGCCAGTTGCTACAGAGCTAATGAGGTTGCTACCAGGAGGTAGCCAAGGACAGATGTCAGAGAGGCTAGAGCCCTAGGAATTTTATCCTGACACGGGGTAGGGGTGGAGGGTAGCCATGTAAGGCGAAAGGGTTTTAAGCAGGGGAAGAGCTGTGATGGAGGCAAGAAGAGTCACAGGCCAGGGTAACAGTGCAGAAGAGAGAGGATGGTGGCTACCAGGGTGGGAGCTGTGAGGTGAGCAAGGAGGAGACACATCCTCTCCAGAAAGAGACTGATGGGGGCCGGAAGTTTATGCTGGGGCAGCCGTCGGGCAGCAGAGAGCAACGTGGGCTGAGAAAGTAAGGGCTGGAGGGGCTCTCGGTGAGGCTGGAGGCTGGGACCATGTGGCAGGCTTGGCTGAGACTTAGTTCTGCGACATTGGATCTGGCTGCCATGCTCCTCGTGTCCCAGGGGCCTCCTGGAAGAGGAGTGTCGCACCTTGGAGAGGGAGATCCCCATCCTGCAGGTGAGCCGCAGCCCTGGGCCTTCCCCCAGAGCCTCACTGCTGAGTGTAAATACATGCTTCTTGCCTGGGTGTATGCGTGTGTCTTCGTACATATGTGCACATAAAGGTGTGTGACTCCTGCATCCATTTCTCGCGTGTGCACATTGTGTGTTTGTGTGAAATCCTAGAAGCCCAGGATTCTGGTTGAGTGCTGAAGTCCAGCAGATTCAGACTAACCTGCTGCATTTGCCTCAGGTCTTCCGCCTCCTTTCTTCACCTAAGTCTGGGTACAGGCCCCGCCACCATCTCACTAAACTCGGCTTTCCAGCAGGGCTGGAATTCCCTCGGGGGCTGCCCTCATGGCTGTTGGGCTGAGGGGGCTGCACGGGCTCATTCCTGGGCCCTGCCCTAGGGATGTTGGCCTCTGTATCCTCCCTTGTCCCACCCCTCCTTGAGGCTGGGCACTGACCCAACTCTCCCTGCAGCGCTGCCTGGAAGAGGAGTCCTTGCGGGCTTGCCACCCCTCTGAGGCAACCCTGGAGCCCACCCTGGCAGGTGAGGACCCTGGGCAGACCCAGAGCACCCAGCCTCTTACTCTCTGCCCTGCACTTGCACACACCCTGGAAGAGCTGGGCACCGTGACTCAGCTGTATCTGTCCCCCAGAGCTAAAGGAGCAGAGGAGTGCCATGGAACAGGAGCTGCAGGCATCTCTGGGGCCTTCTTGTTTCTCTTCCGACCACAGGTAAACCAACGCAGGTAGATGGCCAGGCAGGGTGGGCTGAAGGGTCAGGCCACCACTTCCTTATAGTTCCTCTTTCCTGTCCAGGCAGTGGCCCTTGGGGTCCTCCACTCAGGGCCTCAGACCCCTTCCTTGCCTCCGTGGGGCTGCTGGAGTTTGGGCTGCACCTCTCCAATGCCACCTGCCTGCACCTCCTTTGGAGCGCTGTCCCCGACCTGGAGGCCAGGCCGCCAGCTGCCGCTGGGGACGGCAGCTTCAGTGCAGACCCAGGGAAGGGCCAAGTTCCACCCCAGTGTCCAGTGTGGTGCCCCAGGCGCCAACCTGAAGGGCAGGTCACAAAGTAGGCTTCTGTTCCTGCTGGAATGCACCCTATCTGCTGCTGCCTCTCGGCTGCCATGGCCCAGCCAGCTTCAGCTGGAGTCTTGGATGAGCTCTTGCCAGGACCCCAAGGCTGTCCGTCTGTCTGGCCTTTGCCCCACTCCCTTGCCAGATCCCTGTATCTGGGGCTGTGCGGCTGGGCATCTGTCCCAATGCTCAAAGCCTTTGGCCTTTCTCCTGCAGACAGAGGTCCCATCCCAGCCCTGACTCTCATTCCCTGGGGGACCCAGACAAAGCACAGCAGCAGCTCAGAGACAGGAATAGAAATTTCATTAAAATCTATGGACTTTAAAATCCTAGTGGTGCACGATGGGTGGGGCTGGGCGGCGCACCGTTATTGCTACAGAGGATTAGAGGTGGCTTGGCGGGGGCTGTCACTGCACAGAGGGCACAGAAGACGGACAAACAGACACTGCAGTGTTGGGAGGAGGAGCTCTGGCTCCAGAGAGGGGATGGGGGCACATGGGCTGGGGCCATTTGGCACGTGAACAAGGGCAGCATATTTGGGAAGACGGGGCCTTTAGCCTGGTCGGGGAGAAGAGGGTGTCGTGCAGGGTCCCCTTCCCCAGGGTGCTGGTCTTCAGCCTCCTGTTGAGCAGCCCCCACCCCTGTCCCCCAGAAACAAGTGCTTTGGGCAGGCTGCTGGGTCATGGCCTCTGCTGGCTGGGCCTGACAGCCAGGGCTGGGACGAGGGACAGAGACCCCAGAGCAGCCGAGTGAGGTGCAAGCAGGCCTGGAAGACGGATTGGACCCGAGGCTGGGGGTGAGGGGTGGCAACCACAGATAATACAATTTTTACAAAAATAATTACACAGATAAACAGGGCTGGGCAGTACAGCCTGACAAGTAACACTGCGCAGCCCCCAGCCCCTCCCCCTCCCCCCAGGTAGGAAGATCCACATTTGCCTGGGCAGAGGTTGGAGTCTGCTCAGAGGGCAGGAACACTGGTCATGGGGCTGGAGGCCCAAGGAGAGGACAGGTGGGGACCTACCCAGAGCCTCAGCTCAGGGCAGAGTGCGAGGGCATCAGAGGCCATGTAAAGCCAGGCAGGCCACGGAGGACCTGGCCCGAGACCTCTCCAAAGTGCTTTGGGCTCCCCAGCAACCCTCCCCTCGTGACCCCCACCCCCAGCTGCCATCTTGGCATCCAAAGGACGTGTAAACACTGGGGACACGAGCACAAATGACCACACTAGAAGTGGTGGCCAAGGTGACAGCAGCCCTCCTGGCCAGGGTGTGGCAGGGGGCAGGCAGTGACACCTGTCCACTGCCTCCCCAGTCTCTGTGGTGGGAGCACAGGGTGGTGGTGGGGGCCACTCCCCTGCCAGCTGTGCTCATATCCGGGAGTCCTGGAGACGGCCGGAGCCATTACTGCCCACCATGGGGATCTGGGCCTTGTCCGGGTGCAGCGGCTGGACCTCGAACCCATCTTCAGGAGAGGGGGCTATGGTGGGGGCATAGCGCCCAGTCCGGTGCTCCAGGAGGGCAGGGCCCCAGTCTCTGCTTGGCTTTGTGGCATTTTTCAAACGCTGCATGAGAGGTAGGCATGGGATGCAGGGGTGGGGGCGAGTCAGAGGGAGCCTTTAAGCCCCATCCATCCCCCCCTCGCCTCGCTGCCCAGCCCTCACCTGGAGGAGGGTGTCCCCATCTGTGCGGCAAAGCTGGAACAGGGCGTAGAGTGGGATGCACAGGACGGAGGACAGAGCCATGAGGAAGCCGATGGCCACGGCCCAGCCCGGGTACTGGTAGTGGTTGTAGGTGATGGGCCGGTACTGGATCACCGTGAAGACGAGAATGAACTGCAAGGGGCGAGTGGGAGTGGGCGTGAGGCCCGTCCAGAGCCCCACTCAGACCCAGGCATCCCTCCTATCAGCACCCTTTCCTCTCCGGCTCCCCAAGCTCGAGAGGCATTTCAGGCAGGGCAGGGGTGACTCTCAACATCCGGCCAGTGGAAGAAGCAGGTGGAGCCGGGATCTGGGTTACGGTGGGCAGGAAGGCACTGTGGGAGGGGAGAGGTCTTTTCTCACCATAGTCCTCAACTGGCCAGACAATAGTCAAGCTGCTGCTGCCTCTGGGAGCCAGTCAGTTCTGCTCAAAGACTTGCGGTGGCTCCCTATTGCCTAGCAAGGTAAGGAGGCCAAATCCCCGGCTTTAGGCTTTCACCTTGTAAAGTGCTTGGGCTTGTCTTGCTGCGACATCGTTTCAGCGTTTCTCTTACACCCAGCACTTCCCACCCTCTCTTCATTTACTGGGGAATCACCCTCTGCACCTGCCTCCGTCAAACCCTAAGCCAGTGCCACCTCCTCCTTCAAGAAGCGCCCCAGGTTCCCCTGTCTCCTTCTTCTGAAGGGCCTCTCGGTGGCATTTGCCATCTGCATCCCTTAGAGTTACTTTGTTTAATGTTTCCCGCAGACCTGGGAGTTCCTGGGATTGCATCAGCTCAGGGTCTCCAGTGCCCAGTACGGTGCCTGGCACAGTCTCATTTGTCGATGTGAACGGATTTGTGCAGAAGGCAGAGGGGGATGGGGAAGAGGGCAGGGTGAAGCTCTGCCTATCTGTGGCTGTGGAGACTGACATTCAGCCCGGGGAGGCTCCGAAGGCTAGAAGTGGTGAGTGTTATGCTATGGATGCTCCGAGAGATGGGAAATAAAGCCGTGGCCGCAGCAACAAAAAAAGTGAAAGGAGGCAGAGGGACTGTGGCTCACCGGCCACCCAGAGGGACTCGGGGGTGCCTTGGTGTGCCAGGAGGGCTCAGTGTCCTCCTCCTGGGCCTTCAGCCACGTCCTGGAGCTTGGGCTCCTCTGGCCTTCCTTATGACCAAATTCTAGAGTGCAAGACCCACATCCAAACGGGGGGACCCCCTCCTGGGACACTGCACTGCACACAAGTTTCCCGAATGGAACTAGATTCCTATCTACATCTGGACAAACCCATTATTTGAGTTGACAGAAAGATGGAGTTTGTCAGAAAGAACTTTTCAGAAATATAAAGAAGCAAAGCCCGGAAAGGAACCACAACAGCACAAAAACAGATGTGCCCACGGAGCCCAGAGCCCACCCCTCGTAAAGGTAACTCCAGCCTGGCTTCCTGGGCAGAGAGGGCACTGCCTGCTTTGCTGCAACCTCAGGGAGACACCAGACCCAGGCGGAGGCCGCTCCTGCAGAGCCTTCTTGTGTCTGCCTCCTTGCTGCCTCCTGCCCTGGCAGGTGCCCCAGGGGTGTCCCCAGGACGGCATTGTGTTCTGACTGTGGGGAGCACCCTCCCCTGCCGAGCTGCCCTCAGGCCACAGCCTGCAGGGCTCGGTGCTGCTCAGTGGTGCCTGCCCTCCCCAGACTCCCCACTGACAGAAGACTTCCGCTCCTCCTGTTTCAAGGCTGGGCCACTGGCCAGAGCCGGTGCCTGTGCCAGGCTTGGGAACATCCCACACTCCTCAGCCCTCCACGGACCTTTCATTCAGAAACATAAGCCACAGTGGAAGTGCAGTGCCGAGCCCCCAGTGGCACTGAGAAACATGACAAGAGCGTGACACCGGACACTGCTCTTGCTGCTGGGCCAACCCTCTGACTGTCACTCAGAGGTAGCCCTGCCTCTTCTCTGTGGAGCAACCATCACCCCTTCTCTCCTGCTTCCCACCCAGACAGAAAGGAGTTGAATCACATGGATTTAGCCCTGGGCCACCCTCCCTCCGGTAGAGCTGCCTGTAGCACAGCGCTGGCCCAGCCCACAGCCTTGAGTTGGACGACCTGATCTGAGTCATGGCTCTGCCTCTTATTAGCTATGGAACCATGGGCCAATTACTAACATCCCTGTGCCTCAGGTTCCTCATCTGTAAAATGGGGTTAACAATTATACCTTGGAGAGTGGTGTTAGGACTTAGCATATGAACAGTGTGCAGAAAGTGCCTGGTTCCTTGCCATGGTGGGTTCCTCCCACCAATTCAGCTCCCCTATGGGAGTTTCCCAGCTGTTGGATGTTCATGGCAGCAGGAACTCCCCCTCCCGAACTAGCCCCCTTCACTGCTGGGAGGCTTACGTAGTTGTCCCTGATGCAGAGCCAACATCAGCCTCCTACAACCTGCCTCTACAGGTCCTGGGCCTGCTTCTGGGACACACGCATTCACCCACACAGCCACGCTCCCCGAGCATCTCCTCTGTGAGGGATGGGAGGTGAGATCAGCGAGGCAGAGGCTGCACCGATATTAATAATGACTGCTGAGGCCCCTCTAGGGACTCCAGGCAGGAACGCCAGGGAGGGAGAGCTGACTCATTCCACTTGCTGCCAGCCGATTTCTCCCTCTAAGCCTGGGCAGTGTCCTTAGTCACACACAGGGCTCAGCATTCCCTTCCTAACCCGGCCAGGCCTGGGTGGCTCTGAGTCTCACACACCCATCCAACCGCCCTCAGCCTCCCAGTGGCCACAGTTGTGGGTGTGGAGCTCCTGCTCTCCCTTTGCTGGTTCCCAAGAGAAGGACACTTGGCCAGGGGGCAGCAGGGGAAGGGAGGGCCGGCTAAAGAACTCACAAAGATGATAGCGGGGGAGACGAAGCGCCAGCAGATCTGAAAGAAGAGGGGTGGTGGGAATCCCAGCATCATCTGGATGTCCTGGAAGTAGCTCCGGTGCCCTGGAGAGACCAGGAGTCAGCAGGCCAACAAGATGGTGGGTGGGCCAGGGGCTGGGGCACGGGAGGCCCCGAGAGCTTGGCACTTACCGTAAATGTACATGATGGACACGCACATGATGCAGGAGATGATCACCAAGGAGAAGCTGGCCGCATAGTTGTCCATCAGCAACAGCCAGTAGATGCCTGCCTGTGGGCCGGGCGGCAGCTGAGCTGGGTGCCCGTGGCCTAGGTGCCCCTACCCTTCCCCATATACCCTGGCAACTGGGGCCCAGCCTTCCTGTCACTGGGTTCTTACCTGGCTGGTGAGGGGGATGCCCAGCAGGAAGCCAGCCACAGCCACGCCCAAGGTCACATAGGTCTTTTTCTGCAGGATCCACTCATTCCCTACCTCGTCCACGATGGCCGTGACCAGTGTCTCCAGGAGGCAGAACTGCAGGATGCCACCATCAGAGCAGGGGCCTGCCCCACCCCCACCCTCCCCCAAGCTACCAGCCCTGAGCCCTGAGCTCATACCTGAGTGCCTAGCCCCAGCAGGATGAGCATGAAGAAGAAGAGCAGGGACCACAGCGGGGAGATGGGCAGCAGCGTGAGGGCCTCGGGGTAAGCCACGAAGGCCAGGCCCGGGCCGTGGTCTGCCACACGGGACACGTCCACGCCCAGGTGATTGGCCATGA